ATGATTTGTGAAAACTCTCCGCACTAACAGAGGTCCATGTGAATAAGCAATACTAGTACACAGCGATAGACAGGTACCCAGTATATTCCTACTAGCCACAAGGAAAACACCGAAAAACATACCAGACATTCCTGCCTGTTTTCTTGAACTACCCTTAGATCTTTTATTCTTGCTTGAGATTACAGTACAGTCAACTTCGCTTATAACGAAACTACTTGACGAAATCGAACGGAACCTCCGCAGTCTTGAAGCACTCAAACCAGACGTAGAACACGCGTTTTTTTCTTTTGATCACAGCAAAGCTCCCACAGGCTGTCATGGTGCAGCTCGAGCTTGCACGGGGCAGCGACAGCTGGACTGTCGCATCCTTACGCAAGGCCCTTGGCATCTTGGTACGTGTGAAGGAAACTAGTGAACGCCAATGTCACGACGCGAACAAAGGACATCAACAGCATCCTGCGCCATCCCATGTCATTTCAACTGGTGTATCCCTCTTGCAACATCATGAGAAATGTTTCTACTGTTCAGGGGCACACTTTAGCGATGAATGCGGCCAGTACCGAGATTTAGATGTACGCAAAGCTCACTCGAAACTCAATGATCGCTGCTCCATATGTTTCAGATCGGATCAAATCGCACGTGACTGCAAACAGGCGAGACCGTGCTTCCACTGTAAACTGTCTACGCGTCATAGAAGCTGGTGCGATAAGAAGTTAGGCGGTGCCTCGGTAGCGCATTCGGAGCAGAAGCGGCGGAATCAGCGAAATGAAATTGCCAGCGAAAATGAGTTGATTTAGAGCACTTACGCGAAACTTGATAACAACTTTTCGAGCAACTGCATATAGAGAGAGAGAGACAGAAAGAGAGAGTGAGAGTGAGAGAGACAGAGAGAAAGACAGACAGACAGACAGACAGAGAGAGCCCGCGTGCGCTAGAGAGAGATAGAGAGAGAAAGAGAGAGTGAGAGAGAGAAAGTGAGAGTGATAGTGAGAGTGAGAGAGACAGAGAGACAGGGAGACAGACAGACAGACAGACAGAGGGAGAGACAGCGACAGAGAGAGCCCGCGTTCGATAGAGAGAGAGAAAGAGAGAAAGAGAGAAGGAGAAAGAGAGAGAGAGAAAGAGAGCAGGAGCACAAGATGGATATAGATCTTACCGCCTATTAGGCTCGGGACAGTCAGAATCAAACTCATGCACGATCATGCCAAAGAAGCACACGTCCTTGCCATCAATTTCCACAAAAGCAAAGACAGACTTTGCTACATAAGGAAACTCCTCCGGGAAAGATGTAGCACTTAGCTCCTCAAACCTGGCATTAATGGAAGAAACATACACATATACGCACATGTACACAGAAACACACACACACACAGAGTTGAGTATAATGAAAAAGGCTGGTTTGTATGACAGATGTATGATGATTTGTGAAAACTCTCCGCACTAACAGAGGTCCATGTGAATAAGCAATACTAGTACACAGCGATAGACAGGTACCCAGTATATTCCTACTAGCTACAAGGAAAACACCGAAAAACATACCAGACATTCCTGCCCGTTTTCTTGAACTACCCTTAGATCTTTTATTCTTGCTTGAGATTACATTACAGTCAACTTCGCTTATAACGAAACTACTTGACGAAATCGAACGGAACCTCCGCAGTCTTGAAGCACTCAAACAAGACGTATAAGACGCGTTATTTATTCCTATGATCACAGCAAAGCTCCCACAGGCTATCATGGTGCAGCTCGAGCTTGCACGGGGCAGCGACAGCTGGACTGTCGCATCCTTACGCAAGGCCCTTGGCATCTTGGTACGTGTCAAGGAAACTAGTGAACGCCAATGTCACGACGCAAACAAAGGACATCAACAGCATCCTGCGCCATCCCATGTCATTTCAACTGGTGTATCCCTCTTGCAACATCATGAGAAATGTTTCTACTGTTCAGGGGCACACTTTAGCGATGAATTCGGCGAGTACCGAGATTTAGATGTACGCAAAGCTCACTCGAAGCTCAATGATCGCTGCTCCATATGTTTCAGATCGGATCATATCGCACGTAACTGCAAACAGGCGAGACCGTGCTTCCACTGTAAACTGTCTACGCATCATAGAAGCTTGTGCGATAAGAAGTTAGGCGGTGCCTCGGTAGCGCATTCGGGGCAGAAGCGGCGGAATCAGCGAAATAAAATTGCCAGCGAAAATGAGTTGATTTAGAGCACTTACGCGAAACTTGATAACAACTTTTCGAGCAACTGCACTGTCCAGCATTGTCTTGTACCACGGTATTAGAAGCTGTTGTGTGAGTATCCTTTGCACAGGTGGATGACAGTTGAAAATATAGTCTTCGTTTTTCTCAGGAGGGCATGCCCAAAGGTTAAAAGCGACAAAGCCTCGCTTTGCTACATAGTCCTTATAGGCGATAAGCAGCTCATAATACACTTGAGTACGCAACTGCTTAGGCCGGAAGAAATGGACACTGTCCAGATACGAAATGTATACACGCCTACAATAAAAATACGCAGAGAACAGAGAGCAAGTCTTGAAGAGATTTCACACAGCAGTCAACGGTGTTACATGTAGTACATGCACTTGTACAGCAAACAAAACAAAGTCAAAGTCAAGAGAGAGAGAGAGACAGAGAGAGAGAGACAGAGAGAGAGAGAGACAGAGAGAGAGAGAGAGAGAGAGAGAGAGAGAAGAGAGAGAGAGAGAGAGAGAGAGAGAGAGAGAGAGAGAGAGAGAGAGAGAGAGAGAGAGAGAGAGAGAGAAGAGAGAGAGACAGAGAGAGAGAGACAGAGAGAGAGAGTGAAAGAGAGAGAGAGAGAGAGACAGAGAGAGACAGAGAGAGAGACAGAGAGAAAGAGAGAAAGAGAGAGAGAGGGAGAGGGAGAGGGAGAGAGAGAGAGTGACAGTGGGGAAGACAGGGAGACAGAGAGAGAGAGAAAGAGAGAAAGAGAGAAAGAGAGAGAGAGAGAGAGAGAGAGAGAGAGAGAGAGAGAGAGAGAGAGAGAGAGAGAGAGAGAGAGAGAAGGAGAAAGAGAGAAGGAGAAAGAGAAAGAGAGCAGGAGCACAAGATGGATATAGATCTTACCGTCTATTAGGCTCGGGACAGTCAGAATCAAACTCATGCACGATCATGCCAAAGAAGCACACGTCCTTGCCATCAATTTCCACAAAAGCAAAGACAGACTCTGCTACATAAGGAAACTCCTCCGGGAAAGATGGAGCACTTAGCTCCTCAAACCTGGCATTAATGGAAGAAACATACACATATACGCACATGTACACAGAAACACACACACACACAGAGTTGAGTATAATGAAAAAGGCTGGTTTGTATGACAGATGTATGATGATTTGTGAAAACACTCCGCACTAACTGAGGTCCATGTGAATAAGCAATACTAGTACACAGCGATAGACAGGTACACAGTATATTCCTACTAGCCACAAGGAAAACACCGAAAAACATACCAGACATTCCTGCCCGTTTTCTTGAACTACCCTTAGATCTTTTATTCTTGCTTGAGATTACAGTACAGTCAACTTCGCTTATAACGACACTACTTGACGAAATCGAACGGAACCTCCGCAGTCTTGAAGCACTCGAACAAGACGTAGAACACCCGTTATTTATTCCTATGATCACAGCAAAGCTCCCACAGGCTGTCATGGTGCAGCTCGAGCTTGCACGGGGCAGCGACAGCTGGACTGTCGCATCCTTACGCAAGGCCCTTGGCATCTTGGTACGTGTCAAGGAAACTAGTGAACGCCAATGTCACGACGCGAACAAAGGACATCACGACAACAGCATCCTGCGCCATCCCATGTCATTTCCACTGGTGTATCCCTCTTGCAACATCATGAGAAATGTTTCTACTGTTCAGGAGCACACGTTAGCGATGAATGCGGCCAGTACCGAGATTTAGATGTACGCAAAGCTCACTCGAAACTCAATGATCGCTGCTCCATATGTTTCAGATCGGATCATATCGCACGTGACTGCAAACAGGCGAGACCGTGCTTCCACTGTAAACTGTCTACGCATCATAGAAGCTTGTGCGATAAGACGTTAGGCGGTGCCTCGGTAGCGCATTCGGAGCAGAAGCGGCGGAATCAGCGAAATACAATTGCCAGCGAAAATGAGTTGATTTAGAGCACTTACGCGAAACTTGATAACAACTTTTCGAGCAACTGCACTGTCCAGCATTGTCTTGTTCTACGGTATTAGAAGCTGTTGTGTGAGTATCCTTTGCCCAGGTGGATGACAGTTGAAAAATAGTCTTCGTTTTTCCAAGGAGGGCATGCCCAAAGGTTAACAGCGACAAAGCCTCGCTTTGCTACATTGTCCTTATAGGCGATAAGCAGCTCATAATACACTTGAGTACGCAACTGCTTAGGCCGGAAGAAATGGACACTGTCCAGATACGAAAGGTATACACGCCTACAATAAAAAATACGCAGAGAACAGAGAGCAAGTCTTGAAGAGATTTCACACAGCAGTCAACGGTGTTACATGTAGTACATGCACTTGTACAGCAAACAAAACAAAGTCAAAGTCGAGAGAGAGAGAGAGAGAGAGAGAGAGAGAGAGAGAGAGAGAGAGAGAGAGAGAGAGAGAGAGAGAGAGAGCAGGAGCACAATATGTATATAGATCTTACCACCTATCAGGCTCGGAACAGTCAGAATCAAACTCATGCACGATCATGCCAAAGAAGCACACGTCCTTGCCATCAATTTCCACAAAAGCAAAGACAGACTTTGCTACATAAGGAGAGAGAGGGAGAGGGAGAGGGAGAGAGAGAGTGTGACAGTGGGGAAGACAGGGAGACAGAGAGAGAGAAAGAGAGAAAGAGAGAAAGAGAGAGAGAGAGAGAGAGAGAGAGAGAGAGAGAAGGAGAAAGAGAGAAGGAGAAAGAGAAAGAGAGCAGGAGCACAAGATGGATATAGATCTTACCGTATATTAGGCTCGGGACAGTCAGAATCAAACTCATGCACGATCATGCCAAAGAAGCACACGTCCTTGCCATCAATTTCCACAAAAGCAAAGACAGACTCTGCTACATAAGGACACTCCTCCGGGAAAGATGTAGCACTTAGCTCCTCAAACCTGGCATTAATGGAAGAAACATACACATACACGCACATGTACACAGAAATACACACACAGAGTTGAGTGTAATGAAAAAGGCTGGCTTGTATGACAGATGTATGATGATTTGTGAAAACTCTCCGGACTAAGAGAGGTCCATACGAATAAGCAATACTAGTACACAGCGATAGACAGGTGGTACCCAGTATATTCCTACTAGCCACAAGGAAAACACTGACCAGAGATTCCTGCCCGTGTCCTTGAAGTACCCTTAGATCTTTTTTTCTTGCTTGAGAATACAGTCGGTATACTATGGTTGGCACATTCTTTGGTGCACTATTTGCTGATCAAACCTTATGACGGCACAGAACCTTAATAGGTAAAATGTCATATACAGCAAATTGAATAAACCAAAGCCACACCTTAGATTGATTTCGAGAGGGCTCTTACGACAATATAATTATGTCTAAATATGCGAACAAACGGCGAGGAGACAACAATTTGATAACCGCAATCAGTAATACAAGCTGGATCGACATTTGTGTACACTGTATTCATGTATTGTAAAACTGTGGAGACAATGTGCAATAAAACGATGAAAAATGTGAAGAAATTGTGTAGAGAAAGAAAGGGATTCAAACAAGTTTTCGTACAACACTCATCAGGAATCGTCGTTGTACTAATGGACACTGAAACAAAAATTGAACTATTATAGAAAATCTAAGTTAGAGAAATAACACTAAGAGCAACAACAGTGAAATTTACAAGTGTGAATCTAAATATGCGTGGAATATATTGAAAAAAACCCAACAACAGCACCAGATCACCACTGCCACCAACAACAGACATTACTTACTTTTCTTTGGTGGCATCTTTGACCTTCACTGTCTTCTTGCTGCTGGAGAGCACACGGATGTGAACGTGGCCAGCTTCACGGTTAGTGTCAGCAGTTGTAAGGTAAGCGTTGATTCTCTCCTGAAGGTATGTAGCCAGAGCATTGGGCGGCAGTGCTACAAACAACAAGAGAAAAAGTCATGAACAAATATTTAGGTTTTCTTCAGGTGAACAATAAGACCAGTATCAATGCCCAGATTTCGCACATTCCAGATAACCCAATAACCAACCCAGTCGTACTCCCTCTCCGCTCTCTCTCTCTCTCACTCTCTCTCTCTCACCTTCTCTCTCACTCACTCTCTCTCTCTGTCACTCTCACTTTCTCTCTCACTATCTCTCACTCACTCTCACTCTCTCTCTCACTCACTCTTTCACTCACTCACTCTCACTCTCTCCGTCTTTCTTTCTCTCTATCTATCTCTATCTATCTCTCTATCTCTCTCTCTATCTCTCTCTATCTCTCTGCATCTCTCTGTATTTCTCTGTATTTCTCTCTCTCTCTCACTCGCACTCCCTCCCTCACTCACTCTCCCTCACTCACTCTCTCTCTCTCTCTCTCTCCCTCCCTCCCTCCCTCTCTCTCTCTCTCTCTCTCTCTCTCTCTCTCTCTCTCTCTCTCTCTCTCTCTCTCTCTCTCTCTCTCTCTCTCTCTCTCTCTCTCTCTCTCTCTCTCTCTCTCTCTATCTATCTCTCTCTTTATCTCTCTCTCTCTCTCTCTCTCTCTCTCTCTCTCTCTCTCTCTCACTCTCTCTCTCTCTCTCGCGTGTGCTTCTCGTTGGAGCAACCAACTGATTGTAGTAAAAATTTGTGTCGAGCATATTGGGAAAAAAATTCAGTTCTAATATTCGTTACCTCACAAATGTTCATTCTGCAAAGCTAAATTAATGAATATTTGAATAGTCGAGATACTCCTTTCAGCCCTATCCTAAAGCATGTTTCATGCACGGCTTTCCCTTCCCAATGGTGCATGATTCTCCCACAAATGCGTATTTCGACCAAATTATTGATTTCAAAATTTCCCATGAGGGCCATTGTGGGTAAAATGGCTAAATAAGGCTTTTGAGAAGAATTTCATAGCTTGATTTTGATTGTGAAGGGCTGCACTAAAACTGATTTCTTGCTCATGATATTCAACTCCGAAGAAACAATCAAGTTAGAAACAAATCTAAAACATGCATTTGCAATCAAACCAGTCGTCGCACTCCACGAGACACAGGTATATTCAGCGCAAAGAAAGTATGAGACCATGGACCTACATGTTTAGCCTTCTCCGGCTTAGTGAGGACACGCGCAGCGAAATCTTTTCTCTACCGTGCCGGTGCCGGCTAGCTCTTCTTCTTTCGGCCGTTCTTTTGTTTTGGTGTTTATCGAACTCGTCCTGCAACGCTTTGGCGAGGTCGTCGAATGTTGCCCCTGTGTTGCTGAGAGTGGGCACGAGTTGCTGGATGTCGTCTCCTCCCAGGTACTGGAGTAGCCCACGCTGTTGGTCGTCATCGCTAATTTTGGACGCAGCAAGATAAAGTTTGAAACTCCATGTCCAGGCGGGCCAGCGCATGGCGGCATCGTAGAGGGAGACATACATTGGAAAAGGTCCAGGGGGCGGAATGTCTGGAGTGGCCAAGGAATGCCACAGCGCGTAGGTACACGTGAACACTACAGGTGCCTTCATTGGCTTCAAAGCTTTAATCACCGCCGACCATGTTGCTCCATCGGGTGATAATGGCCGCGTTCCTGATGGCACTTAGCACACTTGTCATAATCCTAGCATAAGGAGGCACAAACACGTACAAAACACAAACACGTACAAAACAACAATCAGATACTGAATGGAGGCAGATCTGGACACTACTGGTGAGTAGAGAACCTGCAATCTGCAGGTGTTGCATGTTGTACAGAAGAAGCTACAGTCATGTGGATTAAAAATTCTGTCGTGTACCTCTATGTACAGTCTACTCTAGAAGAACTAAGAGAACTTGAGACAACAAATACAAACAAAATCTGGAAACACACAGTGGCCAATATGAATATGCAAACTTACGTCACACACTGGGCAATGGAAACGACTTCCAATAATTTCAGCCATGCAGGTATTGCAGCGGTAGCCGATTACATTGACTGGCTTTGCAGCTCGATGAGCATGCACAGTGTAGCGTACTGCGCGTGCCGCAAAGTTGTAAACTCGAGATGATTCTTACGAAAGTACGCAAGAATTGAATCCCGACTCTCCATCACATTGCCGCTTTGCTGCTCGGCCACATCCTCCTGCATGGGTTTAAGGTTGGCGACCTTTTCTGAAGAAATCAGCGTGATGGTGAAGAATGCCTGGCCAAAAGGAACAAGAATAAAGGTAATGTAAGGAAAATTTGGCAGCAACGAATACAAGAAATCAGCGTAGGCGATAATACCAGCAACACCCAAGGAGCTAGTAAGGCCGTCATCACACTTCATTCTCTGGCTTCCCCTTACGTCTGCGTCCACAGTGAAAAATCCAAAACGGGTAGTCGTGTCATCAAACAGGCACAGTTCTTGACCAGTACACGCGGTCATGTTTTGGAGAAATTTGAAGATTCCCACGTACAAGGTCGCTTTTAAACAGACTGTGGGAGATACACCCTTTTATACAAAAAAGTGGCCCACTCCCGCTGGCTACCACGTCTACGTTTCCCGTTTCTTCTGCTCCCGCTTTCACTCCGTACATGGATCATCATGACAACCGACCAAAACTTTATGTGGATGTAGACACAGCGCCTTGTACCGTAGTGTGATGACAGCGTAACAGCTGGGGCATAAACTAAGATACTAGTAGAAGGTTCAACAAGAAATGGTTTCACTGAAAGAGTAACACCCAAAGGTAATAATTTTACAAACTAGTACCATTATGAACTTAGAAGTTGCGACTTCGGCGGTACTAGTGATGAAATTGGTTGCTCCAACGAGGAGCACAAACTTCTTGCCGAACTTGACACACTGTGTATTGAGCAGGCAGTGGTGCTTTCTTTCAGGTTTGCCGAGCGGAAGGTGCTACGTGCTTCTCGTGTGCTCCGGATGGCAATCGTGAGTCACTCAAGTGTCTAGGTCGGCAAGAAGCGTGTGCTCCTCGTTGGAGCAACCAACTTTAGTACCATTATGACACACCAATATACTCTACAAAAAATAAGTCACTTTCAAACATCGAATGTTACGTGCGTAAACTCATTTTAATATTCAGATTCAAGGGCATACGTTTTCGATAGCCACCTCGCATAATCAAAGGACGACAGAAAACGTGTCGTAATTTGCAATCACCTGTGTCCCACAGATGAAGCTCTATGTGCTGATGGGCTTACAGTGTGTACGTCGCAAACTTGCCTCACTTATTCCAGGCTTGCCCTGTAAGTAGAGAGAGTATTGCTACAACCTAAACTGTAGGACTGAAATGAACACAATTTCTCAGCAATCGAACATTCTTGACTCTAACGAACGAACGAACGAACGAACGAACGAACAAATGTTCTTGATTGATAATTCATGCAAATCGTCAGAGTTCTGACAAGGGCATGAATACCCCGCCTTATCATACAGGCAAAAAAGTATACTTCAGGGAGGAAACCAACGCCATTGACATAAAAACCTTCAGCGACCTTGCTTCGCTCTCCGTTGGAAGCAACATCGCCCCAGAAACGCTGTCAGATGGCTCCGTAAGGTTGCACGCTGATTGTAATAAAACATTTGTGTCGAGCATATTGGGAAAAAAATTTCAGTTCTAATATTCGTTACCTCACAAATGTTCATTCTGCAAAGCTAAATTAACGAATATTTGAATAGTCGAGATTTCAGCCCTATCCTAAAGCATGTCTCATGCACGGCTTTCCTTTCCCAACGGTGCATGATTTTCCCACAATTGCGTATTTTGACCAAATTATTGATTATACAATTTCCCATGTGGGCCATTTGTGGGTAAAATGGCTAAATAAGGCTTTTGAGAAGAATATCATAACTTGTCAGCTTGATTTTGATTGTGAAGGGCTGCACTAAAACTGATTTCTTGCTCATGATATTCAACTCCGAAGAAACAATCAAGTTAGAAACAAATCTAAAACATGCATTTGAAATCAAACCAGTCGTCGCACACCACGAGACACAGGTATACGCAATGCAAAGAAAGAATGAAACCATGGACCTACACTTTTATCCTTCTCCAGCCGGGTCAGGACACGCGCAGCGAAATCTTTTCTCTTCCGTGCCGGTGCCGGCTTGCTCTTCTTCTTTCGGCCGTGCTGCGGCTGGGAGCATCCCTTCTTGCCATTCTTCTGCTTGACATCATAGCAATACAGGCACACAACAACAGATCACGGTCATCATACCCCTCACACACCTGGCCAATAAACAAATCCATCCACATTAATCACTGCATTCTCAATCAAATATTGTCTAGTTTTCCTTTCTTTTCCTTTTCACTTATCTCGTTATCAGCCCACTTAATAGTTGTGTATATCACTGTTGAGGCATCCTATGGTAAGAAAAATAAATACTACTACTAGTCGTTGACAAGTGACGCTCTACGGCTTCAGGAAGGCATTGGCTTATGAAATAAAGCTCTCACTACTTGGCGGGGGATTGGCATACGCCAAGCTTTAAGCGAGTGTATGGTTTGTCTTCTTCCCACACTGAGAACACCTAAGGTATCTTCCCAGTTCCAGAGCAGCGTAGCGCCCCTTGCTATGTTATTTACAAGGTAATATTTCAATGGCCAATATTTTAGAATCACTACTGTATCCTTAATGGAAGTATTGATCCTCAGGCATTCTCCTCCTAATCTAGTCCTAACCTTTTTAAGATTTGATCAAGATGAAAGAACGTTGAGTAATAATACAAAGAAGTTGCAGTGCAGAGCAGTGCAATTTGAGGAATGGCTGTCATCACATTGTTGTTTTGCATAACATAAGAAACGGATTTTTTAGTAACAAATTCGGCGATAATTATATGAAAGTTCGTTGCTCTCAATGTTCGAGCTTGCACCTTTCCCACTTTTCTGTAATAACATAATGAGTCCGCTGAACGGAAAAGTGGGAAAGGTGCAAGTTCGAACATTGAGAGCTACGAACTTTCTTATAACTATCGCCGAATTTGTCACCTTCATCCCATGCACTCCATCATCTCAGCGGCATTGAAAAAAGACAAATTGCCAACAACCATAAGACGAACAGCGGCTGGTGCCCAAATGCCATCCAACCGGTGGTAAAATGTTTGATATGGAGTTGAATTCGAGAGAGAGATGTGAACCATCAGTCCTGCTCTACACAGAAGATAATGCATACCTCGGCCTCAGCTGCGATCTTCTCCGCTTTTTCCTCCTGGGCGATCTTCTCAAACACTTTAGGCCAGTAATCACCCTCAAAGTATGACATACCGGTCGGTACGCTGACTTGATCTTGAAGTGTGGACTGGTGAATATCCTGAAAGATCAAAAAAGTGAGAAAGGATAAACAACATTAGATTGCCAGTATAACAATAGGGATCAAACGGCTACGGTTTTCACCTAAATGGTTAACTGCTACGCTAACAGTCGATTTATCGGAGTACAACCTATAAGCTAGAGCAGTACGGCGTGTAGCTAGTTTGAACAGTATAGTACAATATCCTTGTTTGAAATGTACCGTGCGAAATTACTACTAATCCATACAAATGTCTGCATGCTCATTCACATAGATTCACAGATCAGAAGCACACTTGTCATAATCCTAGCATAAGGAGGCACAAACACGTACAAAACACAAACACGTACAAAACAACAATCAGATACAGAATGGAGGCAGATCTGGACACTACTGGTGAGTAAAGAACCTGCAATCTGCAGGTGTTGCATGTTGTACAGAAGAAGCTACAGTCATGTGGATTAAAAATTCTGTCGTGTACCTCTATGTACAGTCTACTCTAGAAGAACTAAGAGAACTTGAGACAACAAATACAAACAAAATCTGGAAACACACAGTGGCCAATATGAATATGCAAACTTACGTCACACACTGGGCAATGGAAACGACTTCCAATAATTTCAGCCATGCAGGTATTGCAGCGGTAGCCGATTACATTGACTGGCTTTGCAGCTCGACGAGCATGCACAGTGTAGCGTACTGCGCGTGCCGCAAAGTTGTAAACTCGAGATGATTCTTACGAAAGTACGCAAGAATTGAATCCCGACTCTCCATCACATTGCCGCTTTGCTGCTCGGCCACATCCTCCGGCATGGGTTTAAGGTTGGCAACCTTTTCTGAAGAAATCAGCGTGATGGTGAAGAATGCCTGGCCAAAAGGAACAAGAATAAAGGTAATGTAAGGAAAATTTGGCAGCAACGAATACAAGAAATCAGCGTAGGCGATAATACCAGCAACACCCAAGGAGCTAGTAAGGCCGTCATCACACTTCATTCTCTGGCTTCCCCTTACGTCTGCGTCCACAGTGAAAAATCCAAAACGGGTAGTCGTGTCATCAAACAGGCACAGTTCTTGACCAGTACACGCGGTCATGTTTTGGAGAAATTTGAAGATTCCCACGTACAAGGTCGCTTTTAAACAGACTGTGGGAGATACACCCTTTTATATAAAAAAAGGGGCCCACTCCCGCTGGCTACCACGTCTACGTTTCCCGTTTCTTCTGCTCCCGCTTTCACTCCGTACATGGATCATCATGACAACCGACCAAAACTTTATGTGGATGTAGACACAGCGCTTTGTACCGTGGTGTGATGACAGCGTAACAGCTGGGGCATAAACTAA